CCATCTATAAGCCAAGACATAATTGTCGTTGGTCAGGTACAAAGAGGGTATAAACTGAAACATACCTCAACAACCATCACCTTTCAATCGAACACACAAACCTTTCATCTGATTAATTCATAGCTGTGCGGTTTGGTAGCAAAGTCCATGCACTTCTGTCCCACTCTGTATTCTGTTCTTTTGAAATAATATCATTCCCAGGATATATTTCCCCCATTACCTTTTAATCCAACAGACAGACTTATTATCCGACACAATCACAAGTGAGCCGGTGGGTGACAAGGTCCATATACTCCTGACTTACTTTGCATCCGAATCTTGCTGTCCACTGCTGTTCTGCAGAACCAGATAAGATAGGTGTTTTAAGTTTTTAAACTTAATTGTCATCTCTTATCCCGAAATTCACATCCCTCGATGTTGGTTTCAACCACAACCACTACGTGTACCTCAACAAGTATTGGTGAGGTCCCTACCAAAACGAGAGTCAAATAACCCCAAGGAGTCATTTGACCGAAGTAATAGAGGTACTGGTAACATCTCTATTCCCCAGGACTGTAATAACATCAAGTTCAGGGAAATCCATAGAAAACAATACAATTTTTTCGCAATCATATTCGGTTCCATTAAAAGTTTCCCGATTTTAAATTGTGCTCTGAACTGTCGGTTAGACTCTACTGGTTGTATTCCATATTACACTCACTTCCTGATACGAAGTCTTTCATTAACGCTCATCAATTGATCACTTCAAGAATGAAGTTTTTTAGTTCTTTGATATCTCGGATTATTGGGTTTTATCCAGGCAGACAATTCTTGATCATATCAACAATCTCTGGGTTGATGATCGTTGCCGTTTTAGTGATGAATTTCAGATATATCCTCACATGATTGATTTATAATAACCACTTGATGCTTCAACCGATTGAAAGATGGTCTAAGTGCTTGATTTAAAACTTCTGCGATCTTTGATCTATTCTAATCGATACGAACAATGTATATTTATAGGATAATTGTTTAGAATAGTGTATCTTCCAATTAGGGATTCAAAATCTGTCAAGTTATCGTAACAGATTTGGCATTCTTGTTTAGAATAGTGGATCTTTCAGTTGAGGAATCGAATTCTTTTATGGTTTTGTGAATTGAGAGAAATCTAAAGTTTTTAAATGAAATTCGATTGACTTTAAAGTTTGATCTATTCCGATCGATGTGGATAATTTTTATAGAACATTTGTTTGAAAAGTGTGGATTTTTCAGTTGAAGAATCAAAATCTGTTAAGTTTTCATAACAGATTTCGCATACATGTCAGTCCTTCTTTGCTCTTATTGCCTTCTGAATTGAGAGATATCCAATGTTTTGAAATGAGTATTGTTTAGTCTAAGTAGTGCTCAAATTTGGCTCCAATTCGCTGCAAATAAGTTGAGAGGAGAGAGAACTTTGCACAGTTCTCATTGATCTTTTCGCCTCCAAAGTTGTGGATGAGCATTAATCACCTACAATTTTTAAATCTGGTGATCTAGCCATGTTCACACTCCAGCTTCCATGAAAGTAAAACATCTATTTGTCTTTATCCTTTGCATAACCTTTGAAGATATTTGATCCATTGAACAAAATATCACTTTACTAGGTCTTCAGTATAAAATTCACGCCATTGGTTTCAGTAAGAAGTTTATAGTTAAAGTTTAGCTATGATCGCGATGACAACAAAAAAGAACCCTATTATTCGAACTGATGATCTATTACCACCCATCAATTGACCCACTGTTCGTTACACATTTCACATGATTTTTTTCAACATGTTTGTGGGTGTGTGTAACAACTACCTGCCTCTGTTCTGTTTTTCTTTAATTTTGTGTTCTTTTTAGTTCTGTGTTATTCTTTCACCATGTTTAATACTTAATCAACACAAACAAATTAAATTTGTTTGTCTGTTGTAGCATCCATTCATATTGTGGCAGCAACATGTTGTACAAGTGCATACAACAACTATTTTGTAAATTTGCTTTCATAGAAAAGAATCAACACTTGTTTGCATATTCGTAGTCCGTATTGTGTTTTTTCAGTTGCCAACAGAATTTTTTATTAAATTTTCACCTTAAAATTTAAAAATTCATTGTAAAATTAATTTTAAACTTATAGAAAAATAAATCTATAGAATGTGGATATAAAAGACAACAAGTGTTTGTGACATCTAGTGGTACAAAAGAGAATTTAAGATGTTGTATGTTTTGTTGATATATTTCATAATTGTCCACCTTCACCTTTAAACATCCTTTATAGCTTCAAATTATTATTATCCACGCCAATAGTGTGGAAAATATAATATTTTTCTTAGAAAATAACTAAATTGAATTTGAATTTGCATTATTATTGTCTTAATATAAAAAATTCAATTTTACTTTTTGTGGCATGAAGACATCAACATATTTTTATTGCCACAACAATACTCAATGTAGCAATTAAAAAATTTTAAAGAAATTTCATTGAAAGGAATTTCTGATCTTTAAAAAGCCATTTAATTGCAAATTAGCTGCAGCAGTATTTGTGAAAGTTAGAATGTATCTATTTAAATTTTGTTCATGATTTCATATGGGAACATATTTGCATTTTTAAACATTTATTAGCGTTAAAGAAATTTTTGGAAGGGAACTGTATGAGGGGGTGTAGGATCCAATATGTTCAGATATTCGTAAAATTAGATCAGTCAAAAGTTTTAAATAATGATTAACACATTGTATTGACTTGATCTATAGCCAAGACTATAGATTGATCTACAGGCAAAACCATACAGATTGAAATATATTCAAAACTGATATATAGTTAAGACCACAAATTGATTAATAGTCACCACTATAGGTTAATCTATAGTCAGATTTATCTATAGTCAAGACTATAGATAGATTAATAGCCAAGACTGTCAAGACTATAAACTGAACTATAGTCAAGACTATAGACTGATCTATAGTCAAGACTATAGACTACAGTCAAGACTATAGATTGATCTATAGTCAAGACTATAGACTGATCTATAGTCAAGACTATAGACTGATCTATAGTCAAGACTATAGACTGATCTATAGTCAAGACTATAGACTGATCTATAGTCAAGACTCTAGACTGATATATAGTCAAGACTATAGACTGATCTATAGTCAAGACTCTAGACTGATCTATAGTCAAGACTATAGACTGATCTATAGTCAAGACTATAGACTGATCTATAGTCAAGACTATAGACTGATCTATAGTCACGACTATAGACTGATCTATAGTCAAGACTATATATTGATCTATAAACAAGACTATAGACTGATCTATAGTCAAGACTATAGACTGATCTATAGTCAAGACTCTAGACTGATCTATAGCCAAGACTATAGACTACAGTCAAGACTATAGATTGATCTATAGTCAAGACTATAGACTGATCTATAGTCAAGACTATAGACTGATCTATAGTCAAGACTATAGATTGATCTATAGTCAATATTATAGATTGATCTATAGTCAAGACTATAGACTGATCTATATATTCAAGACTATAAATTTATCTATAGTCAAGATTATAGACTGATCTATAGTCAAGACTATATACTGATCTATAGTCAAGACTATTGAGTGATCTATAGTCAATACTATAGAATGATCTATAGTCAAGACTACAAAATGGTATATAGATTGATCTGTAGTCAAGGCTATAGATTGACCTCTAGTCAAGACTATAGTATGACTTCTAGTCAAGCCTATAGATTGATCTCTAGTCAAGACTATAGGTTGATCTCTAGTCAAGACTATAGACTATATCATTATATAAACCCTGAACACGAATATAGAATGATAGTCAATACTATAGAATGATCTATAGTAAAGACTATAGATTGATCTATAGTTAAGACTATAGATTGATCCTTTCTCAAGACTATAGATTGATCTATAGTCAAGACTATAGACTGATCTATAGCCAAGACTATAGACTGATCTATAGTCAAGACTATAGAATGATCTATAGTCAAGACTATACAATGATCTATAGTCAAGACTATAGAATGATCTATAATCAAGACTATAGAATGATCTATAGTCAAGACTATAGAATGATCTATAATCAAGACTATAGAATGATCTATAGTCAAGGCTATAGAATGATCTATAGTCAAGGCTATAGAATGATCTATAGTCAAGACTATAGAATGATCTATAGTCAAGACTATAGAATGATCTATAGTCAATACTATAGATAAATCTATAGGCAAAAGTATAGATTGATTTGTAGTCAAGACTATAGATTGATCTATAGTCAAGACTATAGATTGATCTATAGTGAAAACTATAGATTGATCTATAGTCAAGACTATAAATTGATCTATAGTCAAGACTGTAGATTTATCTATAGTCAAGACTATAGATTTATCTATAGTCAAGACTATAGATTGATCTCTAGTCAAGACTGTAGATTGATCTATAGTCAAGATTATAGATTGATCTATGGTCAAGACTATAGATTGATCTATAGTTAAGACTATAGATTGATCTATAGTCAAGACTATTGATTGATCTATAGTCTTGACTATATATAAAAGCAAAGGCCGTAATCTTTATTTTTGTAATTTTTAAAGATGTTAAGCAAGTTTGAAGCAAATTCTCCAAAAGCTTTGCAGGCAAATTCCAATCACAAATGGACATGACTGCTTTTGCTTCTAAAGCTTTTTTAAATTATTTTGTATTATAAATATTATCAACTTTAGTTTAACTTTATAGTAGATATTTGTTATCATTATATAAAACCTGCACTATATTGCATGTGATAAATGTATTAAATTTAAACTTAATATCATTGCCTGCTTTTACAATTGTCTCTTTATTTTTCATTCATATTTTTATTTGACTTATTATTCGCCCTTTTTGCGAAACAAAGCAAACTAACCAAAATTTTTCTTCTCTCTTTCTTCTATTCTTTTTTTTTCAAAACATTTTCTTTTACTCAATTATTCATAATTATATTTAGCAAAAGCTTAAAAAATCAAATAACAAAGAACGTAGTTAAAAAGTCATTTAACAAGTAGAAACTGTATAAAAAAGTATAATATTTTAATAAAAAAAAAAACTGGTGACAAAAAGAAAAAGCAAAATAAAATCATTAATTGCTGCTTTAAAACTAAATCAAAAATTAAAGAGAACAGGAAATCAAAAAATAGCACTTGAAAAACATTAACAAAAAGGCAACAAAAGCCGAGAACAAAAAAAAAACAAACATTGCAACGTTACGCGATTAAATACATTACAGCGGCAATTAACTTTAATTTAGAAAGACATAGAAACATACATTTACACACAAATACATATACAACTAAAACATAATTAACACCTACAAGTAGCTCGAAAAAAAGGCACAAACATTTTCAAAATAAATAAAATACACCAACAGCCTAAATCACCTACACCCTATAACATTGAAATAAACGAAACACTAGCAACATCATCTGCAACTACACCAACATCATCTACGGTAGCAGCACCGCAACAGCAATCCAAAATTACGACCACAACGAAAAAGAGCAACCCCACCAACACCAATACCAACAACTCTGCACCTCATACACAGAACAACGTTATGAATACGAACAAAATGAAAAAACGTGATACTGATTTATGACTGGTGCGTACCAAGGGTGCCTTGGGTTTGGGCACGAGCAGTGGCAGTCGCTATAAAGTGACGGCTCGCTGTGTACCGGAAGTTAGTATAACATCACCCGTAACACCACCCACAGAGAGTCAATACGGTTGTGGCAGTAGTACTACTAGTAGTAGTTGTAATCGTAGTAACAATAGTTGTAGTCATAATCATGTAACAGCAATAACAACAACAACAACAGTAGTCCCCTCATCAACACCTCCAACACAACCACTAGCAACCACAATAACAACTACAACCACCACTACTCCTTCATCTGTTAGTTTCTCACAAAATCAATTCTATAGTTTTCCCAACAACACCACCACCAACAACACCAACAACATTTACAATAATAAAAACAACTATAAATTAAACAACAACATCAACAACATTAATAACATCAACAACATCAAGAATTTGAAGAATACAATATCAAATCAGACAAACAGTAAAAGTAAAAGTAACTTTGATTGCTTGTCCCATCAAACAAACGTAACTAATTCCACAATTTTATCCTCAGGAGCGACTTTAGTAGAGGAGGAGGATTTCAATGAACTTACCGCCGTACCCACAGCAGCAACAACCGCAACGCCAGCAGCCGCAGCAGCAACAACGCCCGCAAACATTGTGATAGCAGCCAACAACAGCGCAACAACCACCACCACCAATAACGACTCGTCTAAAGGGAACAATCGCAAAGTGTCCAGACATTTGCCACCATTGAAATTGCAAAGTAACTGTGCACCTAGCTCAATAACGCCTTCGGCTGGTCAGGGGCCCTGTTCGACAATTGCAGCCACCGTAAGAAATGTGTTGCAACGTCAACAGGCCTCTTCAACAACAAGTCCAACTCAACAACAACAACCAACAAAATCAAAACGTACGGCCACGACATCGAATATAACCGCTGCAAAGAACGACGACGATTTCCATACACAAGCCAACGAGCATACGCCTCTGTTCTCGGATCTTCAACGTAACCAGCAACAGCTTACGCAAACGCCTCCTACATCGGCTAACGCTTCTACGTTAGCATCGCCCAACAATAGCATAATTGCGCAATATCAAACAAACGTTTTAAACACCACCGGCGTTGCTGCCTCTACTGCCATACCCAATTACAACAACAGCACAAGCACCACTAACAGCAACCACACCTTTAGTACTACTGCTGCTACTACTGCAACCACTACCACCTATTCGCACAATTCGAAGACAACACGTTCCTGGCCAGTGATCTATCGTAATCCTCATCACTACGACTACGAGGCCCTCTATGCCCCCAACTCGAGAGCAAACTACTATCAGCAGCAGCAACAGCAGCAATACGTGGCACCGTCAGTAACTTTCAAACAGAACTGCTATTCGAATCAATTCAAACAGTCGATTATCTATTCGTCCAGCAATGAGGACTTGACTACCATCAATGAATGTGCGTCAGCGGATGGTGTGGTGGCAAATGGTAATGGTGGTAGAAGCAGCAGTGGCAGCAGCAGTATTTTTGGTGGTGGCAATAGCAATCCTAGTTGCAGTAATCTACAGAAACTTAATCAACAGCAACAACAACAAACGACTTGTTACTATTTTCCCCCTCACGCCACAATAGCATTTATGAACATCCCTCGGCTGTTGTTGCCAGCTCACTGCAATTCGATCCTCATACCTCTGCGGCGACAACAGCAGCTGCTGCCGCTGCCGTTGAGTCTATACGACGCAGCAATAGTATTCTGTTGCGCAACAGCAGTTGTTCCTCGAAAATTATGCATCAAACGGGTGGCGGCAACTTAGACAGTCCCACCTCGCTTAATTCGGCCATGGATGTGACCAGTAATGTTGGCTCCTCATCATGTTGCTCAAGCTGTTGCATGGGTCCACCGCCTGTGCTTTTCCTATTTGTAACTCTACTAATGACAACCAGCGCTACAGCAATGCTTTGCGCCGCCATAATGACCGATCATTGGGAACATGTTAAATGGGATCGTATTAGTCTGGATCGTTATTCGAATCGTTCAAATTTACAGCTCGAATGGATAATGGAGGATAAGGTGGCGATGTTGAAACCGGATAAAAGAGGTAAGTTGGAATATTTTGTTGGAGAATTTATTTTTAAAGTAGCTGAAATCTACCTGTTATGCTCCCAAAGATCCGCTCGAAGGCCTGAAGGGTTCATTGTGATTCCCTTCAAGAAGATAATAAAACTATAGATCCAAGAGGCGAAAGTAAAAGTAGTTTTGAAAGGATAAAACTTTGAAAGTTTCCCAGAAAAACAGAAAAACAAATCGCATATTGGGCCTGATCTAATAGTACCATGGTTGCAAAGCCACATGGTTTCGAAGGCCTATACTAATGTAGCAGGTAGGGTTCATGATTTTTTTCCAAGATCAATCTATAGAAGTAGGAAATAGGAGGTTTCACCGACTTGCTATTACTATAAATCTGAAACTCTTCTATCCAGTTCATAAGCGATGTCTCTCCTAATGCTTCACTGAACTAGAACTGAACTAGAACTGAACTAGAACTGAACTAGAACTGAACTAGAACTGAACTAGAACTGAACTAGAACTGAACTAGAACTGAACTAGAACTGAACTAGAACTGAACTAGAACTGAACTAGAACTAGAACTGAACTAGAACTGAACTAGAACTACTAACTGAACTAGAACTGAACTAGAACTGAACTAGAACTGAACTAGAACTGAACTAGAACTGAACTAGAACTGAACTAGAACTGACTAGAACTGAACTAGAACTGAACTAGAACTGAACTAGAACTGAACTAGAACTGAACTAACTGAACTAGAACTGACTAGAACTGAACTAGAACTGAACTAGAACTGAACTAGAACTGACTAGACGACTAGAACTGAACTAGAACTGAACTAGAACTGAACTAGAAACTGAACTAGAACTGAACTAGAACTGAACTAGAACTGAACTAGAACTGACTAGACTGAACTAGAACTGAACTAGAACTGAACTAGAAAACTGAACTAGAACTGAACTAGAACTGAACTAGAACTGAACTAGAACTGAACTAGAACTGAACTAGAACTGAACTAGAACTGAACTAGAACTGAACTAGAACTGAACTAGAACTGAACTAGAACTGAACTAGAACTGAACTAGAACTGAACTAGAACTGAACTAGAACTGAACTAGAACTGAACTAGAACTGAACTAGAACTGAACTAGAACTGAACTAGAACTGAACTAGAACTGAACTAGAACTGAACTAGAACTGAACTAGAACTGAACTAGAACTGAACTAGAACTGAACTAGAACTGAACTAGAACTGAACTAGAACTGAACTAGAACTGAACTAGAACTGAACTAGAACTGAACTAGAACTGAACTAGAACTGAACTAGAACTGAACTAGAACTGAACTAGAACTGAACTAGAAACTGAACTAGAACTGAACTAGAACTGAACTAGAACTGAACTAGAACTGAACTAGAACTGAACTAGAACTGAACTAGAACTGAACTAGAACTGAACTAGAACTGAACTAGAACTGAACTAGAACTGAACTAGAACTGAACTAGAACTGAACTAGAACTGAACTAGAACTGAACTAGAATTGAACTAGAACTGAACTAGAACTGACTAGAACTGAACTAGAACTGAACTAGAACTGAACTAGAACTGAACTAGAACTGAACTAGAACTGAACTAGAACTGAACTAGAACTGAACTAGAACTGAACTAGAACTGAAACTAGAACTGAACTAGAACTGAACTAGAACTGGAACTAGAACTGAACTAGAACTGAACTAGAACTGAACTAGAACTGAACTAGAACTGAACTAGAACTGAACTAGAACTGAACTAGAACTGAACTAGAACTGAACTAGAACTGAACTAGAACTGAACTAGAACTGAACTAGAACTGAACTAGAACTGAACTAGAACTGAACTAGAACTGAACTAGAACTGAACTAGAACTGACTAGAACTGAACTAGAACTGAACTAGAAACTGAACTAGAACTGAACTAGAACTGAACTAGAACTGAACTAGAAACTGAACTAGAACTGAACTAGAACTGAACTAACTGAACTAGAACTGAACTAGAACTGAACTAGAACTGAACTAGAACTGAACTAGAACTGAACTAGAACTGAACTAGAACTGAACTAGAACTGAACTAGAACTGAACTAGAACTGAACTAGAACTGAACTAGAACTGAACTAGAACTGAACTAGAACTGAACTAGAACTGAACTAGAACTGAACTAGAATTGAACTAGAACTGAACTAGAACTGAACTAGAACTAGAACTGAGCTAGAACTGAACTAGAACTGAACTAGAACTGAACTAGAACTGAACTAGAACTGAACTAGAACTGAACTAGAACTGAACTAGAACTGAACTAGAACTGAACTAGAACTGAACTAGAACTGAACTAGAACTGAACTAGAACTGAACTAGAACTGAACTAGAACTGAACTAGAACTGAACTAGAACTGAACTAGAACTGAATTAGAGAACTGAATTAGAACTGAACTAGAACTGAACTAGAACTGAACTAGAACTGAACTAGAACTGACTAGAACTGAACTAGAACTGAACTAGAACTGAACTAGAACTGAACTAGAACTGAACTAGAACTGAACTAGAACTGAACTAGAACTGAACTAGAACTGAATTAGAACTGAATTAGAACTGAACTAGAACTGAACTAGAACTAGAACAGAACTAAAACTAAACTAGAACTGAACTAGAACTGAACTAGAACTGAACTAGAACTGAACTAGAACTGAACTAGAACTGAACTAGAACTGAACTAGAACTGAACTAGAACTGAACTAGAACTGAACTAGAACTGAACTAGAACTGAACTAGAACTGAACTAGAACTGAACTAGAACTGAACTAGAACTGAACTAGAACTGAACTAGAACTGAACTGGAACTGAACTAGAACTGAACTAGAACTGAACTAGAACTGAACTAGAACTGAACTAGAACTGAACTAGAACTGAACTAGAACTGAACTAGAACTGAACTAGAACTGAACTAGAACTGAACTAGAACTGAACTAGAACTGAACTAGAACTG